AATGAACGCATTGTATTCTTGCAGGATGGGCAAGTGACAAGTGTTCAATACGTTTAAAGGTTGCATTGCAGAAATGGTAGCTTTTAATTGAGAAAATATCGATGGATACACAGCTGTTGGCGTGAAATGCTTTAGAGACCACCCTGAAGATTGAAAGTCTTAAGAAAGAAGATTATGGAAGATGGTTACGAACAAATATACGTAAAACGTCAGCATGCATTTCAGGACAAGTGCCGCGAGTGAATAATAGGAGTCACGCAAAATAAGAAGTCGCAACGCATAAAACGAAGCATGCCGAATTTTTTTCATCATTTTTTCAACAATTTTTTGGTGCCAGACAAATCCGGTTACGCACGATTTACAAATATTCATTGTGACTAGATTTTTTTCCATGCACAAGCACTTCTTTAAAATTAAAATAGTGATCCGTCGCCTGATCCTTTACTCTGTGAACACTCAGTGTCAATTCAGGTAAGAAACAAAGTCTTATTCTTGCCGTAAATATCAAAAACTGCCACTATTGTCAGAGTGTGGGATCTTTGGTGGTCTCTAAAAATGTGGCTCCTTGTCTTTTCATTTCATTCATAATTTTAGTAATTTCAGCGATTTTAAAAGAAGAGCATTGGAAGGGAAACAATCCATTTCATGCCGGACTGTGTGAACGAATCCAGAGGGTAAAAGTTCTCGAAGAATACAGTAGAACCATTTTTCAAAGAAGAAAAGCAGTGCAGTCGTTTGTGAAGATACTGAATTATCAGAGTTACAACCAGAGCTACATGTCACAGGTTCTTCTCATCAATGAGAAACCCATTTTGATCGTCATCTAGTGACGACGATTGAAGAAACATCTTACTGGAGACCTGAGAACGTTAAAGCTGATAACCAGTGACTGCAACTGGTACAGTAACTGTGTTTGAATGAACGCACTAAGCGGGATGCTATGAAGAGGTCATTCCGACCTACGTAAAACGACTGCATATGGCTGAATTAATTACGTGCACTAGTCAAGGTATTCTTGATACGATGATGATATAAGTATAAAAATTGAATACAAAGCACCATGTTTATGTCTATGACAGAGATGTGGCAAATTAAACAGCTGATTCAGTCATCAAAGGAAGCAACTTTCCAGAAAATGTTTTTACGTAGTAGTCACCCAACGATTGCCCGGTAGTCGATGTGTCTGTTGCTGGAGTTTCTACAAGACGATGGAATAGCGGTGCAAATACGTCCTCACGAAAATTTGCATCGGCCGAAAAATGAAATTCATTGCAAATTGTAGGATAGTAAACTTCCATTAATTAGTGCTTGCACTGCAAAACGATCAAACATGAATAG